GAGCAAAGGGGGGGGAAGGGTTTGTGCGGGGAGAAGGGTGCAACAATGAATGAATGGAATTCCAAAATCTCTGTAGATGTTCACTGAAATGAAAAATCAACAAACTATAAAAAAAAAAAAGATAAGTTACTGCTTCAAAAAAAAAAAGGCTGACTTCATCACTAGCACTAGACTGTTGGTACTTTTACAGAGTGCTGGGTATTCCCCACACACTATAGCTAATGCTTATTATCCTAGAAAATGGTTATTACATTACACCCACTTACCTACTTCTTTTTTGCAAGCTTAGCTACAATCTGTTGTGATCCACACAAATGCCTTTACATAGTCGATAAAACACAATGACATTCCTTTGGTACTCTCTGCTTTCAGCCAAGATGCATTTGACCTTGGCAATGATATCCCTAGGTCCATGGCCTCTTTTAAACTATACATGTATTTCTAGAAGTTCTCTGTCAATATACAGTTCTAGTTGTTTTTGGAAAATCTTCAGCAAGATTTTGCTTGCATGTGATATTAGTGATATTGTTTTCTAATTTCCACGGCTTACCTTTTTTGGGAATGTGAATAAGTATGGATCTATTCCAGTAAGTTGGCCATGTACTTGTCCTCCATATTTCTTGGCACAAGCTGGTGAGCACATCCAGGACTGCATTTCTTTGATTAAAATATGTCAATTGGTATTCCATAAATCCCTGGGGTCTTATTAGAGACAGAAGGGTTGGCTCAAGATAGGGAAAGGTTCAAAGCCATTGTTCCCTTGGTCACTATGAGTCATAGTGAATTCAACAGCCTATAACAGTAACACCAACAACTTGAGATAGTGGACAAGGAGGGATTAGAATTGGAACTCAGACATTCCAAAACAAAACATGTATGTTTCATGGTGAATGCATTTGTGTTTTGAAAAGTAATCTCATGCATCACAGTTCAGAAGAGGTAAAAAGCTGTGCTGCAATCTCAAAGGCATGTAGTTTGAATCCATCAGCTGCTTCATGGGAGAAAGATGGACAATTTCTTTCTGTTAGATTAAGTGCCTCTGAAAACCTAGTGAAGGGTCATCTATGGGTCAGTTCTGACATGATAGTACAAAATAAAAACCTACAACTTAAGCTGTCAAGGATTCATTTTCTGTGGATCCACAATCAATACCCATTGAAACAGCAGTAAAGGAATAAAGTTAGCAATATTAACAAGGAAAAAGAACGACATCTTTGAATTATGGTGTCTATTTCATGGACTGCCAGAAGAATGAGTAAATCTTAGAAGCAGCATAGCCAGCATGAGTCTTGGAAGTGAGGATGTCAGGATTTCATGTCCTTGTTTCAGGTCACTGGACATGGTCTCAAGAGGGTACAGCACCAGGAGAAAGACATCATGCTTGAGCAAAAAGAGGAAGACCTACAACAAGGTCAACTGACATAGAGGATGAAACACAATGAGATCAAACATAGCAATCATTGTGGGGGTGGCACAAGACTGGAGAGCATTTCTTCCTGGTGTGCAGTCAAGTATGAGTCGGAGCTGACTAGACAACACCTAACAACAATGACAGTCACTCTTGACTCCTATCATTAAGCCACTCTTCTCACCTATCACCCAGTCAATTCAGTTCCCCTCTCCAGAGACAATTAAAGCGAGCTGTTTGTTTATTCTCTTAGAAATATTTTATGCATATGTAAGTAACTATATGTATGTACGCATGCTTTTGAGTGTGCACCATATATGTGGATTCCTTCCTACTCTTCTTTAAATTATGGTAACACAATTAACAGACATCTTGGGTGACTTTTTTTCATTCTATGATAAATCTAGGATATAATTCCCTATTAGCAATATTTTTTCTCTTTTTTGCACCACACAGTATCTGTTGTATGGTTCACTTATTTAGCCAGTCCCTGACTGAGAGGCACTAGGTAGCTTTCAGTTCCTTACTGTTATAAACAATGCTGGGAAAAGAACCTTAAATGCCATAATTTCATTAAGTACATACAAGTAATTACATCATGAAACCAACTGCTGTTGTCAGGTGCTGTTGAGTACAACCATGGTGACACTATGAACAGCAAATCTGAACCCTGTCCTATCCTGTGCCATGCTCACAATCTCTGGCGTAGTTGAGCCCACTGTTGCAGTCACTGTGTCAATCCATCTGGTCGAAGGTTTTCCTCTCTTTTACCAACCCTCCACCTTTCAAGTCTGATGTCCCACTCCAAGGAATTGCCTCTCAGAGCAACACACCCAGTGCACGTAAGAAGAAGCTTTATCATCTCTTTGCCTCCAAAGAACAGTCTGGCTGTACCTTCTCCAAGCCATATCTGTTTGTTCTTTTGAACACCACAGCTCCAAGGCATCAATTCTTCTGGTATCCTTATTGTCCTTATGTCTAGCTCTCAGATCCATAGCAAGTGATTCAAAGACCATGACCTGAGTTAGTCCTCAAATTATTGTTCCTCAATAATTTGGAGTGGTTCCTGACTGTAGATTTTCCCAGTGCAATACGTCCCCAGATCCCGACTGCTGGTACCAAGGGTATTGTTGATTAAGTCATGGGCTGTTTCAGTCTTTATTCTACTTATCATGATGCTGCCTATCAGAAATTGCCCATCCTTTTCCCATGAAGCAACTGGAGGATTTAAACTGCGTGCCTCTGGGATTGCAGTGCAGCTTCTTACCACAAGGGCTTCAGAATGAGGTAGAGAATATCATGTTGTTGGATCCAGCCGAGGCCTGCAGCAGTGTGGCAGGATGGGGCTCCAGGCAGGTTCGGGCTAAGACCCATGGCTTGCATGGTTGGATAACATGCTGGATGTGGGTATTAAGGTCACAGCAATGTCTCTGCTAGATCTTCAATGCTGGTGCTCCATGCAAGGCCAAAGGGCTACAGGCCCAAGAGCCCAAAGGGGGTGGGGGTGGGGGTGGGGGTATTGAAAAGGTCTGATTTCTGGGTTAATGTAACCCTCACATAAAGGGCCCAGCAAGCAAAAAGTGGTGTCACCAAAAAGCCTGACTTCCAGGTTGATGCATGAGACAAAAACTTAGATGTAAAAAAGTCATACCCTTCCCACTATCATAGGCTTTTCAGAAACAGATCAATGGTCATTCATATTTAAATAGCTTTATTTCAACATTTTAGCTATATACTCAAGATATGCCTTTAATTTAAAAATGAGAGAAGATTTTTTGAGCCCATGCTCAAAGATCAAAATACTCTTAAGAGGCACTTTTATGGCCGAGTAAAATGGCTATAAGACTAGTGGCATAAATATCATGCTTGTTCTTCATTTCCATTCAGAAGGTATCTGCTCCGGAGGAGTCTGTGTCACCCTGAACTGTGCTGAGGCTCGGAGACCGTGAGCAGTCCTCCAGGTTTGCTGAGGGCAGCGTCACAGACATCTTGGCAGGTGATGCATGAGAAGTAAAGAGTGGTATGGCTTTACTACCTGCAAGAGGAAACAATCATTCAGCTTCACAAGCACATCATGAGCATTTAAAAACATTTTTATTGTGGTGAAAAAGTAAACAAAACAACAATGTCTTTACGCATAATTCATTCTCGCCATTCTTTTCCAAATCATTCTAGCACCATTAACAGACCCCTAATACTCTGCCTAGGGAGCTCTGGTGGCCAAGTAGTAAGAAGCTGTACTGCAGTCTCACAGGCATGTGGTAAAAATCCACCAGCCAGCCGCTCTGCAAAAGAAGACTGGGCCATCTCCTCCCGAGCAATTAACTGCCTCTGAAATCTGCTGGAGGGTCAGCTATCGGTCAGTTCTTACTCAACTGCACACATCAACAATATTCCCCCCAAGTAATACTCGCCTCTTTTTCCACTGCTTTTACTCTTGGCAGCTCCTAATAATCTTTGTTTTTTATATATCTATAAATTTTTTTTTATTTCATATAGGTCATAGACTAATGGCAAGAAACTATGCTGCAATCCCAAAGGCACACAGTTGAAAGCCACTTCCTGGGACAAGGATGGACATCTCCTCTTGTGCAATTATTGTCTCTGAAAACCCACTGGAGGGTCAGCTATGAGTCGGTTCTAACTTGACGGTACACAGCAACAAGACCACACAGTATCTGTGACCTTCCCCCCCCACCCCCTGCCTTATTCCCCTAGTATCTGTTCCTTTGTGGCTGACTTATTTCTTGCACTCTGATGTTCTCAGATACATCTATGTTGAAGCAGGCATTACAACTTCAGTTCTCTTTATGGTGGAAAATATTTACTGCTGTGTACATAATACTCTATTTTGTTTATGCATGTTCCCATTGATGGATATTTCAATTATTTTCACGTTTTGCAAACTGGTAAAAATGGTACAATGAACCCTGATGTGCACCATTCTCTACAAACTTGCCAAGTTCAGCAGTTTTCCCTTTTTTGATCAATGCCATTCTAACTAACATAAGTGAGATATATCTCACTATAGTTTTATATGCATCTCCCTTAATGGCTAATGAAACCCTAAAAATGGTAGCACACCAGGTGGCATGAACAATGAAATGCTCAACTACAAGCAGCAAGGTTGGCTGTCCAATCACACTCAGAGGGGTCTCAAAGGCAGGCTGGCAACAAACCTCTGAAAGGTCCCAGCTGCTGAAAACCCTATGAAGCACAGTTCTACCTTGAAACGTAGGCCCCTATGAGTCACAGAAGGAGCTCTTACGGTTTAGCAGTAAGGAGTTCTGCTGCCAACCCAAAGGAACACAGTTCAAATCCATCAGATGCTCCACAAGAGAAAACTTGGGCAATCTCTTCCTGTGCAATTACTGCCTCTGCAAACCTGATGGAGGTTTTCAGTGACTCAATGGTATACAACAACAACATGCTACAAGCAGCTTGATAGCAACTAGAAGTAAAAGACATTGAGCATTCTTTCTCAAGTGCTTGTTCACTGTTTGAAAACCCTCTTTGGTGAAATGTCAGTTGCAGTCCCCTGTCTAATTTTGGATTGAGCCGTTTGTTTTTTTGCTAAATTGTAGATGCTATATATGTTTTGAATATTAGACCCTTATTAGAGAGATGATTCTCCAAATTTTCCTTCCAACTTTTAAATGGTTTCTTCAGTTTATCAATAAAATAATTTGATGAAAAAAGTTAAGTATACTTTGCCTTCTGCTGTTCATGCTTTGTCATATTTGATAGTGCATATTTAAAACTAGGTCCTACTGCAAGTATTAAGTAGCCCTGGCTGGGCATGGTCAAAGTGTTTAGCTGCTAACTCAAAGGACAATGGTTGGAACCCACCTCTCACTCTTTTTTTAATTGGTTTGAGGGTTTTTGGGTGTTTTATTATTATACTAGTTTATTTACAAAATTTCAATACATTGTTTTCCAAAACAGATTCTTCCAATTTCCCTCACCCTCCTCATCAAATTGTACAACGCTATGATTAATTCCCTCTCCCCTGCACATCCTCATCCCCCCCCCCCACTTGGATTCTCACACTCATTCTCTACAATAATGGTTTTATAACAATATTTGTCCTTGCACTCACTCCTTGGAGGAATGACGTGGCAGTGTGCTTCTGTGAAGATTTACAGCCTTGGAAATTGTAGAGAGAAATTCTACTCTGCCATATAATTAATAAGATGGTAGGAAGGGTGGACGGTCAGCAAAGGAGAGGAAGACCCTCAACTAGGTGGACTGACATGGTGACTGCAGCAACAGGCTCTTGTGTGTAAGGAAGTGACACAGGATGGTGCAGGGCAGAACAGGTTTCAAATCTTTTGTTCATAGGGTCGCTAGGAGCCGTACTCAACTTGACGGTGAAAACAATTCTGTGGCAGTGGGTTTAATTTTGGTTTATGATGACTTGGATTATGGTCTTTAAATTTTTCTAAATAATGCAAAGGGATTAAAACAAGGTTTGCACATAATGTCATTCATTTTCTCAAAGTGTTCAGAACTTACCATAGAAAGAAAGCTTACTTTCCACTTCCATTCCTACTTAATTAGAAAAAAAAGAAAACAGAAAGCTCGCCACCACTGAGTCAATCTTGGTTCATGGCAACACTCCATGAGGTGTGCAAACTGTAAATCTGTATGGGAGAAGATCTGACCATCTTACCCCACTCCTACTCCTATCCCTGACGAGCAGGTGATCAATTTGAATGACCAATTTTATGGTCAGCAGATCAACACATAATGAACTGCATTACCAGAATGCCTTAGTCAATTCTAATTCATTTCTGTTGAGTCAAAACAGCCTCAAAGCTGACCCGCCAGTGAATTTTCAGAGGCTGTACTGCACAGAAGATCACCAACTTTTCCCTGAGGAGTAGCTGGTGTGGGTGGAGTAGGTGGCAGTGTAGGTCCTTACCACTCGGCCATTTGAGCTGCCTTCGTCAGTCACAATATTTTAAAAGTATGCAAGTGCTGAACATTAAAAAATTTTAGTAGGGTTAAACATCTTAAAGCCATAGTCTCTGACCGACTTTGAGTAAGTTATTTTACCATTCAGAACTTTCATTTACTTCTTTGTTGAGATAATAATAGTATCTATCATGCAGGGTGTGGTAATGATGAAATAATATCTCTAAAGCTTTGCACTTAGTACTGTAAAATCAAGAGCTACTATTATCACTAAATTATTGCTATTATTACTTATTACCATAAATTAAGTAACTAGAAGCCAAATAAAAGAGTACTGTAATAGTCCTTAAATAAGGAATTTCTGTTACAGACAGGTTATTTTTATTTTTTGTTTATTTTTTAAAAAATTTTATTATATTTTTGTGTGTGTACCATCAAATCACATCTGACTGGTACAGGGGAGACTGTCCCTCCTTCTCCAGCACAGCATCTGGTGGATTCAAACTGCGCACCTCTGGGTTTGCAGTGCAGCTTCTTGCCACTAGGCCACCAGAGCTCACCAGGAGGTTGTTTATAAAAGAGGGTATATAGTCCCTTTCTTTTTGATGAGCAGGTCAAGTGGCAGGCGCAGAGATGCAGTTCTTTGTGAAGACCCTCCTGGGCAAGAAGACTCTCAGTCTAGAGGCTGAGCCCAATGACGTGATCAAGAACATCAATGTATTTGAATTATGTAAATAAACTAGTAAAAAATTGGGAGGAGAAAATAAAACATTAAAGCCAAAATCCAAATGAAGGAGGGCATCCCCCTGACCAGCAGCGTCTGATATTTGTGGGCAAATAGCTAGAGGGTGGTTGTACACTCTCTGAGTACAACACCCAGAAGTAGCCCATCTTGTATCTGAGGCTGTCTGTGTGGAAACACTAACAAGCGCTCCTTGTGCCAGCCCACCCACAAGTACAACTGCGACAAGATGGTCTGCTGCTTGTGCCACACTCGCCTGTATACTTGGCTGTCAACTGCCATGAGAACTATGGCACACCAACAATCTGCACCCCAAGAAGGTCAAGTATGAGCCCCCTATTCACTGGCTCCCTTGCCTGTTATAGGCGGCTTACTTCTGAGCCCCAGGACATGGGCCCTCAATAAAGTCCCTTTCATTGAACTGAAGGGAAGAAAGAAAAAAAAGAAAAAAAAAGAGGGTATATAGATATGCTGTATTGTTGTTATATACCATTGAGTCAGAACCAACTTATAACTGACCCTCAAGGAGATTTCCAAAGGGATAAAATGGCAAAAGAGGAAACTGTCTTCTTTCCTTCTAAGAAAACCAGTGAATTCAAACTCTGAGCCTTTAAAGTTGGCACCCCAACTCCTTACCACTAAGCCACCAGAGCTTTCATTAAATCATTATCACCATAAATTAAATAGCTAAAAGTCCAACTAGAAAAGTACTGCAATAGTTCTAAAATAGTTCTAAAGGATTTTCTACTAATTACAGACAGAATATTAGTTTTAAAAGAAGGTAGGTAAGTATGAGCCATGCAAAAAAGCTTTTGAAGTCAGATGTTGCCAATACACGGACCACTTTATTTTTCCCTCCTAACCTCTAAAATACAGACCACCTTAACAACTCAGGTTCCTAACAAATAATTTACTGAGTATATCAAGGTGAGCTCTGGTGGCCTAGTGAGTAGGAAATTGCCAACTCAAAGACAGGTGGCTTGAATCCACCAGCTGCTCCTTGAAAGAAAGAGGGGCAATCTTCTCGAGTGTAACCTGAAACCTCTGAAAACCTGCTGGAGCTATGAGTTGGTGCCAATGCAATGATGAGTAGTGAGTTCATAAGGATGCAATGCTATTAGTTAATTAAGATATCACTGGGCATTTAACTTTTCAATAGACTTTTGTTCATTATTGCTATATTTAACCAAAAAATGGAAAAATGTTTCCTCTTCATAGATTGAAAGCAGAAGGCAAATGAAATTTAGCTGGTGGCAACTGGCAATAATTTAGAGTAGAAAAATTGTTGTTGTTATGTGCCTGTGACTCACAGCAACCCTATGCACAATAGCTCTTAAGTCTGCCCTGTCCTGAACCAATCTCACTGACTCCAACAC